GTGTGTGTGTGTGTGTGTGTGTGTGTGTGTGTGTGTGTGTGTGTGTGCGCGTGTGTGCGTGCATAGCTTTAACTGTGATGTTAAAATGTTTCTTTTGTGAATAATAACAATTAAAAGACAGTTCATGTGCCTCATCACCCGGCATATTGCAAGTGTGTGAAATAGAAACATAATTTCTTAATTGAATACCTAATTATGACATCAAGGCGAGTCCTATCTGGGTGTTGTCACCTGCATGGAGAACAATGCACAAGCCTACATTTTTATATTATTATAATATCTTAAAGTGACTATATGTAGAATTTGAAAATGTCTCAGATGTAGTATCAAATCAGCAATTCAAGCTGGCCGTACCTGTCTGCTGTGGGTCAATGGTGTCGTGTGATTTAGGCTTCAGTCTTTTATTGTTGCCTTTATGTCTTCTCCTGGCTGTGATTTGCAAGCCTCACGATCTTGTGTGAGCACTGTAAAACAACCTGGTCCTGTAGTGAGTATTCTGGCCTTTCATCAGAGCACCATACAGTCCTTCAAAAGCACTCTATTTCTCACTGCATACATTCAGAAGAGGAAACGATTACTATGTACACCAAACCATATGAAGAAACGGCTACACTTGAGTGATGAGTGCAGGAGAGAATCAGAGGACATGGATGTAACAAAGCTGTGTGTGCGAAAACATCCTTATCCAAATCTATTGTCAGTGTGTAGCAAGCTGTTGAACTGTGATGTGATGTTGAGAGCACATGTCTGTGTACTCACTATGGCTTAAGATCCGTTAGTTTAATGAAGTCCATGCAGATGGAGGAGCTTGTGTGGCAGATGGGGGTGGTCATTGGGGCAGGTGAGTCATTGTCTCTTAGATGGGGGACAATAATAGGCTTTCTGTCTGAATTCTGTCTGTACACTTAAGTCTAATCTTTAACCACACCAAACCCTTCTGTTAAAGGAGTCTAGTACTGTAAGCTACTGAGGTGTCTTTCCCTCAGGAGTGACCTGGTTGACGCGCTGGTTGTAAGCTCAAGTTATCTGAACGTTACAATTGATGTGCGTTGCGTTAGGTACATCATCCACAGACGAGGTTTGTTGAATGAGAGTCCGTTTATCTCCTTAACAAATAACAAAGGAAGTTGATGACATCACATGAGCGAGCTGATACAATGCCAGAAAGTGACTGAGAACCGTTACTGTTTGAAAACCAGATGTAGAATATCTTAACCGGTGGGGTGTCTAAAACTGTTGCAATAAGTGATGAGAAATGTAAAAAATTACCAAAACACAAATCACAACACCAGTAATTCAAAGGAGAGCAAAGTTCAAAGCTGTAGCAGGATAAAACGGTCTGAAGGTTTCCCACACCTGAACAATAAGCAAGGAGAATTTGTTAAAAAGTACTATAAAATCACTTTCAACACTGCTTTATTTGAGTTTCAGACTTCCCCTTTCATTTGGATCAGTTCAAGACTGGTTCATCCCGTTCACTGTATATTCCCTCTGAGTGAAGAACACACTTCTGTAAAGTGATACGTGTTGTTTCTCCACCACAGAGCTGACCGTGGCCGAGCCCTCATTGTCACAAGGTTACACTTTCCCCCGACGCTACCGTTCACAGCGTCACGTTGCTGTTCACTTCTCTCCAAGAGGTGCTTCTCTCTCTGTCTCACAGTGCTGCTGTGATTTTAGAGAAACGTCACCATGAAACAGGGCAGCAAAAAGAAATGCTTTTGTTCAGAGCATGTTTTCTAAATGATGTACATTAAGTGCCAAGTTTTGTTTTTAGCCATTTAGCATTCCAAGAGCAAGGCTTCCTCTTTATACAAACCATTTCCATTCATGTTTAAATATGATCAAATGAGAACATTATCCAGGAAAAGGCTGATATTGTAGTTTGTCTTTCCACTAAGTTGATTCTGCACCAGTTCAACAGTTTGCATTCTTTTATTAAACACATTTTGACGAGAGATTGACTGTGATGTGGAAATGCTTCTGTCATGTTCAGAGTACAACATTCAGACCACTGACTGGTTGTCAGCTGTAGTGTTTGCTGCGTCTCAAGTACAGAAGATGTGAGGCGGTCTGTCTCTGACCGTGTTCAGGATGCAGGCAAATCCGATTTTGTTTCTCAAATCAGATCTTAAAAAGACTGAGCAACCCATCTGCATGGGTTGCTGTGGTAACAACGTAGACCACAGTGGCTAAGGAGGCTAGTATACATCGAGAGGAGGAAGCAGCGGGAAGTCTTCATGACGATGTAACTTCTGGAGTATAATTGACATTACAGATGTATGATAATTGTTTTACTGAATGTATATTCTTCATATATTTGTACTTTGCCCTCTCTTCTGTCAGGTTGCTGCTGGCTGCAGGGCCCTGTGGAGCAGAAGAGCTGTGCCATTCCCCCTTTTTTTTCCTCTCATGTCCCCCCCCCCTCCCGGTGTGTTTCCCTGTGTGTTGGTGACCCCGCACCCCCACCCACCCCCCACCTGATCCCTCCTGTCGTGTTGCCACTCCAGCCCGAAGCCCCCCTCTCACCCCATGCTTGGGACAAAGCCAGCTCACTGCCAGCCCAATGACTGCCTGGATCGTCCTGCCTGTCAGCCTGTCTGCCTTCTCCATCACAGGAATATGGATAGTGTGAGTTACAAGCAACACTGTGTCTGTCACAATGAAACATACTGTGTTCACATTATCAGGTGTACAGATGTTTCTGAAGCCCAGTAGAACGGTTCACCTTGTCTCATTAGGGATCACAGCGCTGCGTTTGACCTTTTGCCACTTCTTGCTTTACATTGTGGTGTGTTCCTTTCCCCCTCAGGTACGCCATGGCTGTGATGAATCACCATGTTTGTCCTGTGGAGAACTGGTGAGGGATTCTCCTCTTGTTTTATTTATTTATTTTTAATGTGGGCACAGTCTGATGCCACAGCTACCAGTGTGGGAGTGAACTGAACGTCTTGTGTCCCTGCTCCAGGTCTTACAATGTCACATGCACAGAAGAGCTTCCCCGACCGGGCTTCCCCAAGACATGCTGCACCATCCAGGACATCCCCCTCATCAGGTCTGCGTCTACCTTTCCTCCTCTCTTTGTTAATGCAGTTTACAAAAGCAACTGTGTGTCAGCAAAAGCCCTGAGGCATGAATTAGCACCTTGTTATGTTGTGGCTCTTTGACATTAACATCACTTTGTCTATTGATATACTGTACATTTTGACTACATGGCTGTGTGTCTTGGAAGAAATACAGACGAATGGTAAAAGGACTGTGGCCTTGCATATAGTGATATATTTAGATAGATGTTCTTCTCCTAGCTTTTAATGCTGAGAGCTGTTTTGTCTCCATTTGCTACAGTAAATGTGGATCCTTCCCTCCTGAAAGCTGCCTGTTCAGCCTGATCGGCAACGTTGGAGCCTTCATGGGTAAGGCCTCGTTGTGACTGAATTTAAAACCATACGCACAGTTATTTCATTAGAAGACATGTTGTGTGTGCAAGAGTTCTTTCTTTAAAGGAATAGTACAGCATTTTAGCGGAGAGTCAGAGGAGAAGATTGAATCCACTCGCACGTCTGTATGCTAAATATGAAGTTACTGCCAGAATAAGGTTAGCTTAGCTTAGCTTAATGACTGGGTACAGCTTGCCAGGCTCTGTGTTTCCTATTGGTGCCTCAGAAGCTCCGAAAGTGCATAAGCCAACAGACCCGCATCATCTGCAGAGATGGGATGCAATTTTAAGGTACCCAAACCAGACGCACTCCTCCCGCTGGCTGCGCCTTTAAATCCTGTCCATGAAAATCACAAACAGGATTAGGGACGAGGGACGACCCTGGTGGAGGCCAACACCCACTGAAAAGATGTTTGACTCTCTCTTTCGTTATACAAGGACTGGATGGCTTGGAGCAATGACTCCGGTACCCCAAATTCCAGCAGAAACCCCTGCCGGACTCCTTCCACACTCGGGTTTTTGCTTCGGCAAGTGCCGCAGCTGCAGTCCTTCTGTGCCAACCTTACCTGCTCTTCTATTTCTGGAGACCCTCGGGCGAGTGAAGTCCAAAAGGCCTCCTTCTTCAGCTTGACGGCCTCCTTCACCGCTGGGGTCCACTATTGGGTTCATAGGTCGTCCCCACATGATGACGTTCTGACCACAACTCCTAGCAGCCGCTTTGAACATGGCCCACTCTGAATCCATGTCCCCAGCCTCCCCCCCAGGAGTTTCTCTGGAGGTGGTAGACCTCACGCGAAGGGGCCTGTCTCAGTCACACATGTTAATATGAAAGTTACAAGAACTTTTTGATTTCCTGACAGATGTTATTTTTATGAGCATGTTATCAATCTTTTCATCTAGTGAGAAAGAAAATAAGCATCTTTATTTTCAAAATGTGGAATTATTTCTGATCCCATGACCAAAAAGAATCCAAAAGAAATATGATGTACAAGGGGGTATTAGAAAGGAAATTAAATATTCTCAAATTGTTGTCCCATAATGTAGTAAAATGGCAAAGAATATTGTTAAATACCAGTTATTCAATATGCAATGTAAAATTGTCAATCTGCCACTAAGTGCACTAAATAAAACTGCTGCCGTCTGCTCTTTCACACCAAGCAGCGACTGAGTACAGCTGATGTGAAAGTGTTTGATGTCTGTCTCCGCTGTCCATTATGTGTGTTGTATTAATCAGTGGGGCCCACAGACAGCCGCCACTAACCTCCAAGAGATTTGGAGGGACTTGAAATAGCCTGTGCTCTCTAATCAATAATGAATGTGGCTTTCCTTCCACTTCCCCCCCTCTGTCCTCTCCTCTGCATGTGCCCTCCATGGCCTTCCTCTTTAGCTCCTCCTCCCCCCATCTTGTGTTTCCACCACTCAGCTCTGCCCCAATTTTCTAATTTCTGCTTTAAATGCTTCTCTCCCGCTGTTTTCACGATTCATTTATTTTTGACAACTTTTCTTCTCGTGTGTATTGAGAGTTATTGTTATTGTTTCATTGCATTTTTATTTATACATTCTGTTAATTTCTCCTTTCTCCCTCTCACTAGTGTGTGAGCTGCTTGGATGATTTAGTGTTTACTGCCTTGGTGGTAGTACTGTAACACACAGCAACCTGCAGGTTTATGGTTCTCAAAGAGTGAAACGAACAAAATGGGAAGAAATTGTGTCAAAAATCCCCCATCATGCAACCTGAGACGTCGATAGCTTTCAGAATACGTCCCCACTGAAAACAAATCAGCAGGATGATTGTCCACCAACAGATGACTTTTTCTATGGCCTGCTATACTCTGACTATGACCTTTTTATTACACACTAAGCTATGACTCTCATTTTGACATTTTACACAACATACTATACTACGACGTTTTCTATGATAAACGAGGACTTTTTATGACATGCTACACTATTTTCTGACATTTTTATGGCGTAGTATACTGTCTTTACTATGACATCTTTGCCAGGCATTATGTTTTCAGGTTGTTCAACCCTCCCATACTTACGTAAGTTAGGAACGCCTGGAGGGGAATTATTATAATGGAGCACAAACGTCCACTTTGACTCAAGGTTAAACTAAGATTTGTTCAAAGATCAAGATCACTGTGACCTCAACTCTGTCTCATTCTCGTAAATATCATATTTCAGAAACGCCAGATGGTATTTTTTTTTCACACTCTGCACAAATGTCCACTTGGACTCGAGGATAAACGGTCACGGTGACCTCGCAGAACACATGAATTCATATGCCAATTATGGCAATTTCACACACGTCTACGAGGATAAAAAGATGATGTGGCTGTAAACTGGCCTGGTTGGCGGAGGCATACGACCTCGAGGCGGTAATTCTCGTTTCTATATTTTGTGTGTCATGGATGCAGTGTAAAGCTTCCCTTTTGTCCTGCAGTGGTGATGGTGTGCTTTCTGCGCTACGCCCAGGTGATCGAACACAGCCACCGATGTTGGGTCAACACCAGCGCTCTGGTGTCCGGCTGCACCAATGCTTTGGGTCTGGTCATGGTGGGCAACTTCCAGGTAAATATGAATTATCTTAACTCAAATGTTGGTGACCTCAGACAAGTAGAAACCACTCCTCTGACCGTACTGCTCTGTTTGTCAGGTTGATCACGCCAAATCTCTGCACTATGTGGGTGCTGGGGTGGCATTTCCAGCAGGACTGCTGTTTGTGTGCCTGCAGTGTGTGCTCACCTACCGGGTGGCTGTGACAGCCCTTGACTACTGGATGGCCCATTTCCGAGTAGCTCTGACACTGGGAGCCATGGTGTCCCTCGTCCTCAGTATCCTTCACCTGCTAGCGCCCCCTTGTTGTGCAGATCTTATGTACTGTATGTTATATCTAAACACCATGTTGGATTTGAGGAGACATTTTGACATGAAAGACACAGTTTGTAACGACTCCCATTTAGGCCAAGCGGCACGAAGGTCTTGCACACTGGAATGACTTATTGGGTTGTTTTTTTTGTCATTTTCCCTTCAGTAGCCGTGTTACAATCCTGCACGGATTAAGACAACTCTGAGACAGGACAGCGAGGCCATGACAACATTTGTCTGGGCTTACTTTTATCTCCCTCTCCTGCCATCTTATTTAACAATCGCGATGCCTCTCTTCCCTGCCTTTGTCTCGGTGGTGTCCGGGGTGACAGCTTTTCCTCCACAAAACCTTCAGTCCTGTATGCTGTCTCCTCTTGTGTCTGGTGCCAGGGATGAGAACCATTCAGGTTCATGTGTAAGAGTCTGAAAAATAGTCTATCCTAGCATTCCCTCTTTGGCATCCCATTATTAAACCCTTCTGTTTTATGGAGCTATGCAAACCCAAATTCTATTTCACCCTAATAATATAATGTATTCACTCCTGCACATTGTCATATATATCATGTCATTACATCATGGATTGTTCTAGACAATAGGAAGTGTGAATAGGAAGAGGAGCTCTATTTGTTTTGCTCCTCCATCTACCCGATGTGTTTGTTCCCCTTAACTCGCCGTCCTCCCAGGTGGCATCTTCTTCATCCACGAGAGCTTTGTCCTGCAGCACGCTGCAGCCATCTGCGAGTGGGTCTTCACGGTGGACATCCTGGTTTTCTACGGCACCTTCACCTACGAGTTTGGCACCGTCACCAGCGAGACCCTGATGGTGGGCCTGCAGCAGAGTCACCACCATGGTTCGGGAGTTATCATGGGCTCCAGGTCCCAGGGCTCGACACTGGGTGGGGCGACTAAGGGCCTCAAGTCCCCCGGGGGAAGCAGCACATCCACACACCTCAACTGTACGCCAGAGAGCATAGCCATGTTGTAGCTCTGCAGTGCTGCTCAAAGGTTTGCAGAGGTGCTTCGTTGGCTGACACAGGAGGGCAAGACAACCGAGGAGGAGAGGAAGTCCTGCTATCTGTAACCGTTGAACCAACACCAGGTTATCCCATCTGTAATGCTGTACTATTTATTTTTTTTTTTTTTCTTTCCCCTAATGTTGGTGTGAGCCACTGCAGTCGAAAGGTTGAACGCGTGGAGCTAGCTTGAGCACTGGAACCATGAATGTTTTCCAAGATGGCGGTTGATTTGGGCAGTTCTTCACCGGAGTCGGTTGTTTCTTGAACATCGCTGGTGTGCCCACAATGTCTTCCTCCGCGGCCCAGACGCTCCTTCATGAACTACCCAACGCTCAGCGGGGCCCACCTGTTTTGGCCCTTTGCTTATCTCTGCACGGCACCTTTTTTTTTTTTTTTGAATGAGAGAATAACAATTTATGATTGAGTTTTGAATTTGCATAGTAAGTACAAAAATATTGAATGTTTGAGAAGGGAACAGTTAACAGTTGTGTTTTACAGGCTGTAAGCATAGGGCCTTTTAAAATCAATCAAGCATAAGTTATCCGTCAAGTGACAAAAATCATTCATTTCACTCGACAATTTAATTGGTTGCACAGATGATTTTGAATGCAAATTTTGATGGTATTTTTTAAAAATGATTTTACAAACTGTATACGTGTATCTTGAGCCACTATAATTCTTGAGATCATAATCCATGTCATTGGCATTAGAGTGCAGGATTACGACGAGGACCGTCTCAATCACTCATAACTCTCTGAAGTAGTCTCCCTTGATGTCATTCCGTTACTGTCCAACACGTTGCATGATCCGAGGATTTCTTTGTAACATTTACATTTCATGCTGTCTTTTTATTTCATTGACTGTGAAGTCCGGTGCAATAATTGCCATCAATCGTCTGATCATTTCCGCTCCGCTGGAGTGAATAATGCCTTTTTTCAGTGTGTTGGAGTTGAACGCGGGGCTTTTCTTTTTGTTTTTTTAAAGAAGTGACACTAAGACATTTTAAGTGACCTAAATATTATAGTAAAATAAGTAGATGTGGAGGTATAAATGTAATCCGACTACCACATTGACAAAATGACATAGTTCTTGCCCACACACCGACTTGATTCCAGGCTGGACCCTTGGAAGCCTTATTTGAGTTTTGACGATAGGTTTTCTGTTAGATATGAAGCGATGCTCCGCCTGCTCAACAGTTTATGTTCACAGGAGTTAACCGAGAGGTGAATATCATGCTTGTAGACCTCGTGCCATAAACGTAATGGCGTCACAAGAGTGTCCGTGCAGTGTTACAGACTTTACTAAACGGGTCGTAGACTGAAAGGAAAGTGTCGTGTATTAAGGTTGTGTATGATTTCCTGTTGCCAATTTCTCTTTAAGTGATATTTACAATTGTGAATTAGCTTATCGCCAGACTGCCACAAACTACCACTGCTCAAACTAAAGCTGACTCATTACACACAGTATTCTGCCCTCTGCGTAGTGTTGATACATGTTTAACTGTCTAACAACCGGATGCCAGCAATACACGTTTTTAAAAAAGGTCACATCACCTACCTCTTTTATCTTTTGTGGGTTTGATGTTCTGAAGGAAAAGCTAGAGTTTGAAAAGTGTTTTTAATATGACGCTAGCTCAGCAATCCAACGCTGGATCCACAAAGTCTCAGCAAGCTTTTGACAGGACAGCGGATCTGCTGTTACACGAGCTGTGCGTGATCATATGTCGGGTCAGTTTTCTTTACTCTTTGTGCATTTAACTTCCTATGCTTTCTGGGACTGCAGCAATCCTGTCTTTGTTCTGCAAATCTTGCCAAAAAAAAAGAAAGGACTGGAATCCACTGGAGGTTCAGATGGTGTTGTGTGCGTCCGCAGCAGGTGTATGAATTGATAAGAGTGCACAGTTTCAGCCTTATCCCTCGGACTGTGCCAGGGGGAACATGTTCAGATTTGTGTTTATTTTAATCTTGTGTTCAGCTGTAGCCTATTTCACCAAACTGTAACTAAGTCACACGGTGTGACTACAAACGGCAGCTTGTATGAGCCCTCGCATCAGGGTTGGATGTATTCTGTTCTATGATACCATCTTCCACAGGCCAAACTTTGAAGGTAGATTTTACAACTTTTTGTTCTTTGCCAGTAAGCTTTCATGTGGTATCTTTGTTGGTGGAAGGATCCTACAGTACAAAAAGCTGACCTGTACATGTCTTGAACTCTTTTAACATCACCACAGAAACAATGTCTATAAAAATGTATTCTACATATTTCCTCAATTTGAAAAATATGTCAAAGAATGGTATAGTCAGAGAAATCCCCCAAAAAACAAGTCCACACAGATTATTTTGTTTCCTTTTATAAATTCTGTAAATATGTACAATTTGTCTATCATTTAGGTATTTTCATTTGACAGAGATTTATATTCAAATATGAAATAAAAATGATAAATTATATGTTTTGCATGGATTGTCCTTGATTCACAGAAGATTGTCGTTGTATCCCTTTAAACAACAAAAGTATCTGTAAGTTGCTGCTTAAAGCCGAGAGCAAAATGACATCGTGCTCATACACAGTATACTCTCACACTCACACACACACACACACACACACACACACACACACACACACACAGACCGTGTGGAATAGTCTTTGGGTGGTTAATACCCCGATTGCTATCATTGTGGTCTCACCAGATTAGTTTATTATTATCGAGTAACATATTTCTGATATTGGACTTTATGCCAGTGATGGTGGCTTTGCAGCTTGTAGTTCTTCAGGTTTCCGTGCTGCAGGCCTCACTACCAGAATGTGTGACCCGCAATAAGTGTAAATATTTGATTAAGGATTTGGCTCTACAACTGAACCGAAGACTTAAATTCAACCGCCAGGACCGGCTCATTCTGTCAACATTTCTATGACATACTATGACTTTTTGCGACCTATTGATGGCATACTCTATGATCTTTTATGTCATACTACACTATGACTTTTTTTATGAAATTTATATTCTGACTTATTGAAGATGTTTTCATAACATACTATATAAGACGTAATTACTTTATTATGACATAGTATTAAGACTTGTGTGACATTGTAATGAAATACGATTGACTGACTTATTGCATACTATACTATGACTTTTTGAGTACATTTTCATGACATAGTATATTATGACTTCTTTATATTTGATGATTGTATGATTTTATGATTATACTATCACGTGACATTTTACAAGATATAATTATTTAATGCCTTGTTTGTGGTATACTGTACTATGACTTCGTTTTTACATTTTGATGACCTATGACGTGTTGTGACATTTCATGGCGTATTACACTATGACGTTTATATGACGTTTTTAATGACATACTTCAGTGCACTTAGACAATTTATCACATTTGATGACATACATAACTTTTCGTGAATTTTCATGATACAATTGAATGACTTTTCATGAAACATTTAATGACAAACTATACTGATACTTTCAAGACATACAATATTGTGACTATTTTATTACATTTATTTTGGCCAAACTATACTATGACTTTTTTTATGACATCTTTTATGACATTCATACAGTGGCGGGCCGTGCATTTTATACCTTCTGTGCTGTCCTACTACAGTTGCATTACCTCCTAATAACCTCATTATGACGCATCAATCCAGCAGACCTGCAGCGGATCCACGCATTCCACCACACAAGAGCACGAGCCATTCAAATATTATTCATAAAAACGACACGAAAGACTTTTTTACACATATGAAACTATGATTTGTTTTGACATGCTGACTTTTTCATGACTTTTTTCAACATATTATACTTTGACTGGTTTTGACATATATTAAGATTTTATTGTGACTTTTCTCGTCATGACTTTTCATGACTATGACTTGATGAGTATAGTATGTCAAAAAAGTAATAGAAAGTCATAGTATTGTCTGTCCAAAAAAGTCAGGAAAGGTTACAATATAATATGTCGAAAAAAGTCATTGTAGTCCCCGTTGCTTATCAAGAAAGGCAACCACGGTTGCTGATTGCTTGTTTAGACGTGTGCAATAAATAGCGAAATCCAGTTTCCAACATCGGCATTTTATTTCTCACAATTGCATCTTTTCCAACATAAACAGAGGTTGGTTATAATATCGCACAGTCAAAAACTGTTTGCTGCTGTATATTCAGCAACACCTGCATCAGTGACCCTCCTGATTATATTCATTTGTGGCTTAATTGACAGCGGCACTACGCCCCCAAGTGGTGGGAGGTTTTACGAAACAAAACAACAAAATGGCTCTTACAGTCATAGTATAGTATGCTAAAAAAAGTCATTAAAAAGTCATAGTATAGTATGTAAAATAAGTGATAGTATAGGATGTCAAAAAAGTCA